TCCAGGAGAGCTGTCCTGGCCCCAGGCTGGCCGTCCCAGCCTCCAGCCCTGGCACCTGGCTGAGGGCACATTGCCTGACCTCTATTCTAATCGGATACACAGCCCGCTGTCCCCAGGGGGGCTTGACCCCCTAGAGAAGGTTCCACCGCTTCGTGTCCCTCTGTTTTGCCCACCTCTGGACACCTCCAGGGCACCCCTGGGTGTCCGGGAAGGGCACCCTCAGTGTCTTTCTCAAACAAATAAACAAAACACCCCGGGCCTCAGACAGGAGGCATGGCCTCCGTGGCCAGGAGAGGCCCCCTTGACCCTTGGCATTTCTGGGGCCCCGTGTCAATCTTCCCTTCTGGGGACCCAGAGGGAGGGGGCTGGGCGTCAGGCGGTCTGCTGGAGGAAGAAACGAACCCTCTGCTCTGGCGGCTGTGAGGCCCGCGGCGCCCCTCCCCCCCTCCAATGCATTCCAGATGGGGCAAAGAGCTAAAACGACAACAGCGATTTTTTAAAACAAGCCGCAGAAGAAAGTGGAACTGAATATCGATCAAACTGCTGGCCGGGGAAAGGATTTTCTGAGCTCAGAAGGGCCCGCCGGGGGAGTGCTGTCCAGATGAGCGTATGCAAATGACAAACGTATGTCCGAGGAAGGAGGCGGCGATGGAGAAGGGGGGGAGAAACCCAACCCGGGCTAGAAAAATATTTTCAGCAAACACAGAGAAGACTTATATCCTTATGCACACGGATGATTAAGAAAACAGAGAGCTGGCTGCCTTAGATAAATGGGCAGAGGCCATAAGCCACCGCTTCTCAAAGAAGAAAGAGGGCCCGTTCCCCAGCCAGGGGGGGAGGCCTGCTTGCAGCAACGGCAGGAATGTGAGGCAAACAGCCCGAGAGGCCCCTTCCCATCCATCAGCGCGGCTCCCCGGGCGCAGCGGTGTGGGGCGCAGACCCGCTCACGACCACGTAGGAGACCGTGCTGCCAAGCCTCGCGCAGAAAGCCATTTGGCAGCCTCCAAAGCCTTAAGAACGTTCATACTCTTTGACCCATTAATTCCAGTTCTGGGACTGCAGCCCAGGGAAATAACCCGAAAGACAGAAAATGCTTTCCACCCGGCGTTATTTATGATAGTAAAATATTGGGGGAAGCCAGTTGTCCTCCGCCGGAGCGACGGTTAGGAAAATTATGGTTTGTCCAATTGATGGAATATTATGTGGCCATTCAAAATATTTAAGAAGACTATGTAAAAACATGGAAAAATACTTATGAATGGTGCTACATTTTTAAAAAGCAGAACTCAAGGTTGTATAGACAGTCCTGGGCTTGAAAAACAGCCCCGGGTTTAAATCTTTTTTTCCGAACCTGATGCATGGGACGGGGAGGAAGAAATAAGCCTTTTCATTTCTCTCCCCTCCTTCCCGCAGTCTGGCGGGCTGGGTGGGAGTTACAGATGATTTTTTTTTTCTTCAGGGGACTTTTATGTATTTTCCAAATTTTCTTTAATGAGGTGTTTTATTTTCATAATGAAAACACAAACATTTTTTTCAAAAGGAGAAAATACCTTGTGGCCCGGCAGCTTTACTTGAAATTGCTGACAAATAAAGTGTTGGGGACAGGAATGTGCTGGGGGGTCCCCCACCCCCGCCGGAGCCCCAGGCCCGCCGGGGGTGGGGGGGTGGGGGGAGCACACGCAGGCTCAGGGGTGTGGGGCATCGGGGCCCAGGCGCCGACTGTGAGCTGGGGGCTTCTGAGCTTATCTCTTCTGGGGGAGTCGGACACTTGGGTCAAAACAACACCCTTGAAACCTCCCAGCTGTGACCCGCCCGCCCGCCCAGGCTGCCGGCTCCAACCCGAGGGGCTCGGGGGCCCCAGGGCTCGGTTCTGGTCTAGCTGTTGCTCTGGAGTGGGATTCGGGGGCTAGAACATCCTGCCAGCCACCCCACTTTTGGGGTTCTTTCCTGTCTTGGGCCCTGGGAGACCCCACAACACAGGGTGGGCACGAGGGGCTGCAGAGAGGACCCGTGGGGCCTCTCTCTCTTTCTCTCTGCCCCTTCGCCCCCAGCTCCAGGCCACCCTTACTGCTTCGGCCCCTAGCCTACCCCTGCAGGAAGTCCCCCTCGCCTACACTGGGTGACCTGAGGCCGAGCCACACCTAACTGGACCTCCAGAGTGTGTCCGGTGGCAGCGGCTGCCCCCAATGACCCCGTTCTCAGAAAGTGCTTTCAGCAGACATCCAGGATGGTGACCTCCACACCGAAGAGCAGAGCAGTGGCCACCTTCCCTCCGCCTCTGGGTGCCAGCTCCTCCCCCAGGGCACAGTCCTCCTCTGGGGTGTGGGTTTCCTCGGTAGCCTTGGTCCCCACCCAGCGGCACCCTCGGCATTGCCCCCACCCACACCAGGGCCCCTGGTACCCCAGAGCCCAGCCACACCCAGGCCCCCACTCACTTGGGTCGGGGCTTCTCCTCTGGTCACCACAGTGCCGGCCAGCAGGGGGGAGAGGACAGAGAGGCCATGTGAGTCGGGGCCCACCCTGCCCCCGGGCCCCCAGGGTCCGCCCCGCTCGCAGGCTGACTGGGCTCCGGCCTACAGGGCCCCCTACTCTGCAGCTGAGCCCACCGCCCAGCCCACTGACCCGCCAGGGCAAGAGGGTTCTGTCCCCACTCGGGGCCCGCGGGGAACCAGGAGGAGAGCTCAGGGCTGGGGTGGGGGGCAGGACAGGAGGAGGAAGGAGGGGCAGATGAGACTGATTCGGGGCAGGAGGAAGAGGGAGAAGGGACCGGGGAGGGGGGTGAGCACCCGATGACCGGGCTCCGGGTCTGCCGGCCCGTCCCCACGACCAGCCCCTAGGTCTGCAGAAGCTCAGAGGGGACAGCGCCTGTGAAGCCCCACAGTGGACCCTGTGAGGATGGCCATGCCAAGCAGTCCCGGCCGTCCCTGGTCTGGAGGGGGCGGAGGGGTGGGGCGACAGAGAGCGGGCGGCAGCGCAGGACGCACGGCCCTCACCTTCCTGGTCCTCTCTCTCCTCCTCCTCCGCGTCTCCTGGGCACGAGCACATGAGCAAGAGAAAAGCCAGCCAGACAGGCTGCGGGCAGCGTTGGCGCGAGCGGAACACGGGCGGGACGCGCGGGGGTGGGGGTGGGGGACCCGGGTGGACAGGCGCCTGGACCCTCTGCCCCCTGGGCAGGTAGCCCTGGGCCTCACCTTTGCCTTCAGCTGGGGGCCAGAGTGGCGTCTGGGGAAGGGGCGCAGGAGGCGGGTGTGGCCACGTGGGGTGGGGGTCTGGGGAGGGGGGCACGGAGGGAGGAGGGCCCTCCGAGGCCTGGGGGGCCGGTGGGGACCACCTTGGGAAGCTGACTCCCTCCCCAGTGGCCAGGCCTGGTGCTGGAGGCAGACAGTCCTGGGGGCCTGACTCCTGGGTTTCTGGATTCGAAACCCAGCGGGTCTCAGGCAACCAGGTTAAGAAAGCCTGTCAGTGCCTGGGGCTGTGGAAGTGTCATTAGTCCCAGGCCAGGGGCCGGTGGGCCTAGGCCCGCTGCTGCCTGCCAGTCAGGGCTGTGGCACCTGGCGCCTGGCCCTCCTGGCGGGGGGGCCCTTCACTGGCACCGACAGGGCAGAGGTGTCCAGTTGAGAAACCCTCTCTGACCACCTGGCTCCTTTCTCTGCCCTCGGCTATGGCCAGCAGGCCCCCTGGGGGTGGGGTAGAAGGTTGACCGGCCTCCACTGCCCCGGCCTGTGTGTGCACCCAGCTCGGGGACCACTCGGGTTGCTCGGAACCTGGCCCACCACCTGCTCAGGTGGCCCTGGCGTCGCCTGCGGTCAGCACCCTGAGCCAGGGCTGAGAGCAGGGATCTCAGGGTGCAGTGGGTGCCTGGGAGCTGGTCAAGGGGCTGGCAGGGGGCTCGTGATGGACAGTGATGGGCTGCAGGGCACCTGGCAGGGCCCGGGGACCCGGGTGGGCACCGGGGCAGCCGGCAGCTGGAGGGAGCGCAGCCATGCGGCAAAGCACCCGGGCAGCGGGCGGCAGCGGCCTGGCTCTGTCTGTCTGTCTGCCTCGGGGCTGGTCGGGTGGCCTGGCAACCTGGCAGCTCCTACAGGCCTGTCCCCTGGACGCCTCTGCCACCACTGATGTCTCCTTGTCTCTAAACCAGTGGCCTCTCTGAGCCCAGGGAAGGGAGGACAGTTTCGGGGTCGTGTGTGGGGCTCAGGCCCCGCCGAGAAGCCACGTGTGCGCAGGGAACTGAGAGCAAGGCGCGCCTGGGCCCCTGACCGGGATCCGCGGCTCCCCCCCCACAGTGGGGGCACGGCCCTCACTCCCGGCCTGTCTGGCTGCCACCCCAGCAATGGGTGGGCCTCCTGCTTCCTCGCACGCAAGGCCCGTGGTTGGTCTGGTGCTCCCTTCCCCGCCTTGGGCCTCAGCCCAACTTCATGCTTCGCCTCACGCCCCCCCACTTCCCCTCTCCGGTCTGCTTTCCCGGGCGGGACGCAGGCCCCCGGCGCGGCCTCCCCTCTGCCCCTCTCCACTCCACCCTAAGTGGGCCCCGCACCGGCCTCCCGAGGCCCGCACCCCTCTCCGGCCTTCCTATGGGCTTGGCCACCCCAACTGCCTTCCAGGGGGGCTCTCGCCCTGTCAGCCAGTTCTGCCCGGGGCCAGCACTCCAGGTCCGACCTGTCCCCACTCTGTCCCAGCCCAGGGGACCGGGGCCAGAGCCACACAGGCAGGCAGGGGTGTGGGGGTGCCGAGCACCGGGGGAGCGGGGCTCCAGCCTGGGGACGGGCAACGTACCTTCCTGGACTTCCTCTGCAGCAGCAGCACATGTGGGGAGAGAGGGAGAGAAGGGGCTGTGATGCGGGGGCAGGGACGGGCTGCGGGCAGTGCCGGGCAGAGGCGGGGGCGGCGCCGCACCGTGCGTGGGTCACACGCCCTGGTTCCTTCCCGGCCGGGCTCCTGCTCCGCCCGCACACGGTCGTGAGTGCACACGCACCACGCAGGACAGAAGTCACGGCACATACCTGGTTCATGAGCTTGGTGGGCTAAGGAGGGTACGGAGTGTGAGGCAAGAGCGCGGGTCAGAGGCCAAAGGAGGAAGGGTCCGAGGTTAATGGGCACAGCCGGTCACCACGAGGGAGGGTCGGGGGCCAGGCGGAGGGCAGCGTGCGGGAGGTGAGTGGGACACCGTCAGCGTCAGCCCCAGGGGCTGCTGCGCCCCGGTGCCGTCCCTGCCTCGCACTCGGGGAAGCCGAGGCCGCAGGCTCAGTGAGGGGCCCTGGCTCTGGGCATGGGGACATCGAGGTCCCCACCTATCCTGCGGCTCCGGAAGGACGTCCTTGCCAGGTCCCGGCTGCGGGCGGCACTGGGACCGCCCCCCCCCCAGGCCTCCGTCGCCCAGTTCTGGGCCGGGGCCCTGACCTAGCCGAGGGGTCAGAGGTCACGGGTGTTCTCAGTGACCGCCCCCCCTGGGGCAGAGGACTTTTCAGGGATCCAGAAGCCAGGCCTTATCTCACATCTGGCCCAGCAGCCCCTCAGGGACCCACCCAGAGCCCTCAGGGTACCCCCAGTCTGGTCAAGCACTGGCCGTGGTTAGTGGGTTATGTTGGAACCACATGTGGGGGCCCCTTGGCTGGCTGGCGCCTCACTGAGTCCGGTTCCCCACCCCCACCCCCACGTGGGCTCCAGCCAGGCCCCGGGCCCCACATGGGGCCCAGAAGTCCTGGGTACTCATACCTTCCTCATGGACTTCTGCAGGCAGGGGGCGCCGGGTGCGGGGGTGGGCAAGAGGAGAGAGGACAGGGTCAGGCTAGGAGCACACTGCACAGCCTTGGGGCGTCAGCGGGGCAGGTGGGGCCGCGCCCCTGGGCCTGCTCACTTACCTTCCTCCTGGGCCTCCTCTGAGCCGGGGCGGCAGGGGCGTGAGGGAGAGAGAAACAAGGGTGGTCATTAGCGGGCGAGCAGGGGAAGCTGGGAAAGGAGGCCAGCACGATCGAGGAGTGTGGCTGCTGGACTCCGGGGCTCAGGGACTGGGGTCTCAACCCTGCCTCTGCCGAGCCACCTCCCCTGGGCCCTGCCTGGGGCCTGCCACCGGCGCTGACCCTGAGGGCTGGCTGACCCCCACTTTGCAGGTGTGAGACGTGGGCACAGGGGGCCAATCCACGCCCCGCGGGAGGACCTGGGCCCCGGGAGAGAGTGGGCAAGGGCCGGGCAGCGTCCGGGTCTGCCTGAAGGTGCTGGACGTCCTGTGAGTGTCTGGGAGGAACCCAGTGCCGGGGACCCAGCCCGCCAGCCACAGAGCCGCTCTGCCTTCCCCGGGGCAGACGCGGGGCTGCCCAGGACCACGTTCCCGCTCAAAGTCTTCCCGCCTTTGTAGCAGAAAAAGGAATGTTTTGCTCACGTTGTTAGGGGAGCCGAGTGTTTTCAAAATATTTTCAAAGCACAGCACCCAGAAGGCCTCACAGCGAGCCTGCTGGGTGAGGGTGCGTGAAGGGGGTTCCGGAGGGCCCCCCGCCCAAGCCTGAGAACCGCCTCTCGGCACGGTTCCCAGGTGCGCCTGCCCGGGCAGGGCCAGGAGGTTCCCACGGACGCCGGCGGGTGTGAGGGCGGAGCCGGCCGGGATGATACAGGGCTGGGGGCAGGGGGCGCAGAGAGACGGGCGGGGCCTGCCCCACCAGGCCCCCCATGCTAATGAGGGTGAAAGTGTTAATGACCAGATCCGGGCTGAGTGCACATGGCAGGGCCTCGATGAGGGTGAGGGATTAATGAATGATTAATGAGCGTTTGTCTGCGAATCGGTGAAGGAGGTGGGAAGTTGGCCATGACGGCCAATGGGAATTAATGGTGAGGAAGGTGGACGGTTAATTGTCGAGCTCCGGGAGGCCCCAAGGGGCCTGAGGCCCGGAGGATGGAACCGGGCAAGAAGGGTCAAGTTCAGGGGGAGGCTGGGTGGGGGGCTCCGGGGCTGCACACTCACCTTCCTCCTCGTACTGCTCTGCTTGGGAAAGAAGAGAGGGTGGGAGTGTGTTAGTGCGGCCGCCCCTGGGCTGGCCTGCAAGGGAGCGGGCCCAGAGGAGGCCGCTGAAGGGGCCCCAACACTGGCTTTCTGGGGGTGTCTGAGACCCCAGGAGCCCCTGTCCTGTGGGGGAGGGTGCCAGACAGTGGTCGGGGTGCCCAGAGGTCTCTGGGGCCAGGCCACCCCCACGGACCCGCAGTGCAGGCTGGAGACTCGCAGGGCAGGGTTCTGATGTGACCTTCGAGAACGAGCAGGCCTTGGGCACAGCAGCAGGCAAGGGCGGCCGGTTTTCAGAGGGGGCGCTGCACTGGTACCCACCAAACGGGGCAAAGCTGGGGCTTCCAGCCAGGGCTCCCCGAGGAGAGCCACGCTGTCCTCTGTGGGACGAGAGCCCCCCGGAGGGGCCGAGAGGAGAGAAGGAGTAGCTTCGACACTTACCCTCTGCCTGGTCCCTGTGGGGGGAGAGAGAGAGGAGGGGAAGGGGCCTTCACTCAGCTCCAGGGCGTTCTCATACACCCAGCCCAGGCCCGGAGGTCCCAGGCGGGCGCCCCCCGGATGGCTACTCACACTTCCTCGTCTGACATGGTGGTGGGCTTTCCCTGCAGGGAGGGGGAGACCAAGAACAGAGTCAGGGGTGGCTCAGTCTAGGGGGGTCCAGATGGGCAGGGGGTGGGCGAGTGAGGGGGCATCGGCAGGCGGGGTGGGGGGCCGTGTCTCCGGCCTTGGGCGGGCTCGTTCCCACACTCGGAGCCGCTCCCGGAGGCCCCTGCTTTCCTCCCAGGCCCCAGACTCAGATCTGCCCCCCTCCCCTTCCTGCCCTGGCTCCAGCCCGGAGTTTGGAATCCCAGAGCTGGACAGGATGTGGGGAGGTTGCGGCGCCGCCCCCTCCCCCACCTCGGCGGACATGCTCTCCCAAGTGCTCCCCGAGGAGGGTGTGCGGGCCAGGGAGGCCGTCCAGGCTGCCCTGGACGTGGTACAAGGCCTGCTCTGGCCGGCTCCCATTTGCTCTTGGTGGTCTCCACCCCGAGGCCGAGGTGAGGGCTGCCTGGCCTCCCCCGTCCCCACGAGAGGCCACGTTCCCGTTGTGAGAGCCAAGCTCCCTCCTCTGACCCACATGTTCCTGCAAAGATTCACGTTCTCTTTCAAGAGCCCTGGGGTCCCCTGCGGGTCCCCACAGCCCTCTGCAGACCCCTCTGCCCAAGTCGCGGGAGCCCACCAGCTGTTCCCCCTGCCTGTGCCTCAGTCCACCAGGCAGCAGCGTGAGCTCGGAGCTCACAGGAACAGAGGGGGGTTGCTTCCCTACATGTCCCCCACACATGTGGTCTGCAGAGCCGAGCGGGACGCCCCCGCCCGCTTTCCCAGGCCCTGTGCATGCTCTTGAACTTGTCAACGTCTCCGGGAAGCTCTGTGCCTAGGCCGCACGTGTCCAGGTGCGGCCGGCATCGGGCCAGGGTGCTGGAGGACGGTTTTCCGGTGAGCTGGCCACCGCACACACCCGGGGCAGCAGGGCCTGGGAACCCCCGGAGTGGCTGCAGGATCACGGGGCCGGGGGCCTCGAACGACTGGGTTCGTGACAGCCCGGTTGGAGACAATAGTTACAGCACACCTCCCCCCAGACCCAGGGAGTGCCGAGCAAGAAACACAGGCGTTCATCACTGAAAAATGCGCCAGCGTTGCACTGCCGAGCTGGGAGCGGCCCTGCAAACCTCGGTCAGGAATGCGGACTTTCCCAGAGCAGCCTGGCTCCACGCACCATTAACCGGGGCGGCTCCGAGGGCCCCTCCAGGCGCCAAGCCCTCCCCGCCCCCGAGTCTCCTCCTGGACTCTGCCGACCCCCAAGTTACAGCCCCCAGCCTTGTCTACAGTGGGGGGGGGGAGTCTCATGGCTCCCCTGGCCTCCCCGCCCCAGGCTGTACACCCCACCCTTGAGGCCCCTCTGTGGAGGGCCGGTGAGAGTCTGCCCCCCCCCGCTGTGCCCACCGCTCCCCCGGCAGTGCCCAACACCTGTTGGCCTCCTTGAGAGGGGGCGGACACAGCCTGAGCCCAGGGTGGGCTATTTTTAAGGAGCCAGCAGCAGCTGAGGTGTCCAGAAATAGGTGCCCCGATCGGCCAAGACTCCTCTGTCCAGAAACCCAAGACGGTGGGAGGGGGGCTGCCAGGCAGCTGCCCACTCAGGTCTTGGCCAGGCCAGCACCCCTCCCTGCCCCACCCCCCAGTCTCCCGGGCCAGCCAGAGCTCCTTGATCCTTCTGGGCTGACGTCGGAGGGGCACAGAGAGGGGTCCCGAAACCCCGGGCAGGGTGCCCCTCAGGGTCCCTTGCAACCGGAGGCAGCAAAGACTCACTCTCCAAGTGGGGAGACTGAGGCCCCTCCAGGCCCTGCTCCTCCACCAAGTGCAGTGCACGCCACCCCCCACCCCACCCCCCCGCCGGGCTGCTCTGTGCCCCTGGCCTCCTGCCCGTGGGGAAGGGGTAGGGCCTGACACTGTGACAGCCAGGAGGGAAACCAGCTGTCCGCGCAGTGTCCTGCCCTTGGGGGGGACCAGGGGGAGCATAGCCTGCGAGGTCGCCTCCCTCGGGACACACATCCTCCCTCCCAGGTGACGAGATGCAGCGGGGGACGGGTGGGGGGGGGGGCAGGAGGCCCTGCCCGTCCCTGGCCGTGGGCCCTGGAGCGTGTCCCCTCCTCCGGCCACCCCATCTGGCGGGGGCTCCTTGCCCATCTCCTCCCAGGACGGCTGAGGGCACTCAAGAGGGAGTGGGCAGAGAGGGCGCCGGGTCTGGGCGACGTCAGGTGGGCAGCTGGGCCCCGACCCAACGGGCCACTGGGAAGGGCCAGGGGTGAGCAGGGCCCCTCAGGGTGGAGATGCTGCTCCAGGCTCCGTAGGGGCGGGACTCTTCGTCCTGGGCAGTGGGACAGAGGCCTGGCGCCCTTTTTCCTCTGCCCCTGTCCCCCACCCCAGCTTCCCAGGCCCTGTTCACCCCTGTCCTTGACGCTGGGCCCTACCCACCTGGCCCCAGCACTGTCCCAGGGCGAATAGAACGAACCCCCACCTTGGTCTTCGTCTGTTCAAATGGCGGCACGAGAGGCCACAGCCACTGGGTCGCCCTGGGGAGGGGCCTGGGTCTGAGCGTGGGGCCTCAGGTCCAGGGTGCTCCGGGCAGCAGAGCCCGGCTCCCTCAGCTCCCGCCTTGAGGCAGCCCTCGCACCCCTGAGCATTCCTGAAGGCCCCACTTCCCTCCGTGGGCCTCCGCTGTCCCCGTGCTCTGGTTTGGGACGGCCTCTCCCGAGTCATTTGCATGTCCAGAGAACGTCCGCCCGCAGTGCCAGCCCCCGCCCCTGGGAAGGCCCCCTGGGTTCTCCCAGCCGCCGTGCTCAGAACCGAGACGCTTGGGGCACGGCACCCAGGACCCGTGGCATCCCGGGGCCCGAAGGGGCCTTCACGGCCGGCGCCCGGCTGGCCCCACGCAGCCCCAGGCCCGTTGCTGGAGGCCATACCCACCTGCGGCCGAGTCTGGAGAGAGGGCTGGAGCTCCCTGCGGACAGGACCGTCTCAGGCACTGCCCCTCGGGCACACGCCCTCGTGTTATAGTGACATACGATCTCTCCCAGCAGCCCACTGGCCAGGGGCGGGCTGGCCGGGCTGTGTCCTTGCGGGCCCCTTACCAAGTATAGGAATACCCGAGGAGGAGGCCCAAGGAGCTGAGGCTGGGGGACACGTCTGCAGAGGAGACCGCATCCCCCCTCCCCCTGGGTGGTGTCAGCTTCTATTTTTACTGCCCCCCCCCCCAACAGCGGCACATTCTTGGTGGCTGAGGAGGTTGAAGGGAGGTGTTGGGTGGCCCAGGGACACCACACACGATCCCCTTGGGCCAGCCTGCTGTGGGGTCCCCAGAGCTAGGGTCCCAGGCCCCCTGCCCAGCCGGCCCTCCGTCTGAGGGACGAGTAGGGGTGCTTTGCCCAGGGAAGGGGGCTGCACGGCCAGGTTGAGTCACGCTTTACCCCTGGTCCACCTGCCTGACCCATCCGAGGAAGGGCCAGGGCCTGGGGCGTCCGGTGGCCTGGGGGACCCCAGACTCTTGGCCACACCCTATCACAGCGAAGCCACACCGAGGCCAGCCCTGGTCCCTCAGGCAAACACACTGGGGCAGGCAGGCTACTGGGGCCAGAGAAAGATTCCAGCTGCTACGGGCTGGCATCTGCCCCCCGGCCGGTGCCTCGCGCAGCCAGGGGCCGCCCCGCTGCGGTCAGCCCAGGGCTCCCAGTTGGGGGCCCCAGCCCTGCAGGCCTCTCTCCCCACTCAGTGGGCTTGGCCACATGCCCGTGGACCCCCTTTCCTTTCAGACATCTTGCTTGGGCCTCTCGTGGCCCCCACGCTGTCTGCATGGCCCTATTCCTCAGATCAGGGGAGCCGAGGCCCAGAGCGGGGTGAAAACGACCGGGCCGCTCCTGCCAGACGCCCTGGGCCCAGAGGAGGCCGGCCAAGCGCAGACGGTGGGGTCTGTGGAGTGACCTCAACCAGGGCAGCAGTTGGTGGGCTGATACCCAGGAAGGGGGCGGGTCCCGAGAAGCTCAGAGGAGGTCCCTGCTCTCTGGGTCTCAAGGTCAGGGACGTCAGGGTGACCAGCTGCCAGCTCCCATGCCCCAGCTCCTCCCTGCTCTGTGCCCCCTCTGGGTCCTCAGAGCTTTCTGGAAGGTTTTCGTTGCACCTCATCCAATCCCTACAAGCTGGAGATAAGGCCACGAGAACCCTAGAAGGGCAGGGACCGGCCCATGGTCACAGAGCAGGGGAGGCGGACGGAGCCCCTCCCCGCCTACCTGTTCTGAACGCCCCGGAGGCCAGAGCTGATGGGGACGTCCGCACACTCCTGGTCAGAACCTGGAGCTCCTTGGCCTGCCGCCGTCCCCACCACCTCGGACGGGCAGGGACTTGGTGGGCCACACACAGCCCTGACCCTTGGCCACGTTCAACCCACTTTCTGCCAATGGGCTCCTTGTAGAGCCACTGAGTGGCTCCTGGGGCTGCCCTGCTTGTCACCCCATGGTGCCTTCTCAGGCCGGTTCCCCTTGCTCTGCTGACAGAGACCTGGGAACCGCCCGACACTCAGGTGCAGGGACACACACAGGTGGGGACAGCATTGGGAGGTGGCCGGCCATCTCTACAGCCTGGTCTGGTGCTCGCCTGGGGAGCCCGGTGGACCCAGCCCGACTCAGACTGTGCAGACTGGGCTCCCGGAGCCACCACTGCCCCCCCCCGCCCCCCCGGGCCCAGGGTGCTCTGGGGGGTGCCCTGCAGTGGCCCCACTCCGCCAGCAGAGGAGGGCGGCTGCCTGCTCAGCGCCTTGGCCTCTGGCAGGTGCTTCCCCTTGAGTGGCGGAGCCAGAGCGCCAGCGCTGAGGTCAGAGGGTCGGGCAGGTTTTATTTTGGGTGTCAGCGGCCTCCCCTTAGGCGACGGGCCTGCGGCACAGCAGGGCAGCACCAGCGGGTATTGCCGGACGGGCAGGCGGCCGGCCACCGGGGGCCTACGGCAGGTAATGGGCACCGTCCCCCATCTGGCCAGGCTGGGGTGGCCCGAGACGGGGCAGGGCCCTCGGCCAGGCCCTGGCGGGGCGCTGAAGGAGGGCATGGGGCAGGCCAGGCCGGGCTGGGCTGGGGGACCAGCCTGCACCCCAGGACAACTTTGAGGACCGATGGCAGACAGGGTCTCATCCAGGGATGTGCTTGCAACGTTGACAGGGCCTGGTGGAGCCAGGGAGAGGCACCCCCATCAGAGTGCCTTGGTTCCAGCTGTCCTTGGGAGTGACTCCCAGGATAGCAGGGAGGGCAGGGGCCCCTTGATCACGGCATGGCCCTCAGTGCACTTCACTGGGGGCAGCAGGGCCCAGGGGAGCTTGACCTTCTGCTGGGAGCGCTGGGCTGGCCTGGGCGTCCGCCGGTGCCAGCCTGCCCTGCAGCCGGCCTGGCCCTGGGGGCTCCGGCTCTGCCAGGTCCTGGAAGAAGCTGCGTATGCTGCTCACTCTCGGCATCCCACACACCCTGGGTGGTCGGGAGGTCAGGCTTCCTCCGAGACCCGCGGGGGGTGCTCTGGGGCCCGGAGCGGGGAGCAAGGGTTCTGCATGAGGCCTCTGAGGGCAGATGGCGGGGAACAGCAGGCCCTCTGAGCCTCTTGGTCTCAGTGGGGACAGGCACCAAACGCAGGGCCTGCGTCACTGCAGCTGTGGGGGGTTCAGGGCTGAGTGGCTGCTGCCCCCGGCCTCTCACCCACCCCCAGCCTCTGAGCTTGCCCCTCTGGTCCCGGCTCACTGCCTCTTCCTGTTGTCCTGCTGTCCACAGCTGCTGTCCCGTCCTGCTCTGGGAAGGGAGAAGGCACTGTGTCCCCGACACCGCCGCAGAGGTGGGCCAGCGTGAGAAAGGTGGCTGTGACCTTTTGACCTCCAACCCTTCTGGGCTGTGCGGTTTTCACTGTGTGTGTTGGGAGGTCGGCACATCCACCAGGACCTCAGAGAACAGTGGGCCGGCTCCTGACGTGCGGGGCGGCAGGGTGGGGCCCAGAGTCAGACCCGTGTGCAGGCCCGGAGAGCGGGGGGTGCACTGGGGGGGTCTCACCCCCAGTTCACACCTGTGTCCGCTCGCCCACCCACCCATTTGTTTTTGTAGGCCCGCGCTCAGGTTCGTTCTCTCCCTCCCCCGCCCTCTCTTTCAACACCCACCGTCCGCCTTCCCCTGCCCACCCCCTGCACGTCCTGTGCAGACATTTATCTGTCTGCCTCCCCACCAACCCCATTTCCTCTTCACAAACCATTTCCTGCCCACCTGCCTCTCATTCCTCTATACATCCTTCCACCCGCCCATCCATCTGTCCGTCCATCCGTACATCCGTCCATCCGTCCATCCGTCCCCCCATCCACCCACCTAACCGTTCATTATCTACGTCCGTTCTCACGTTCGCTGGTTCCCTCCCTCCCGCTTTTTCTTCATCCGCCCTCCATCCGTTTACGTGCCCATCTTTCCACCCACCACCGTCCGTCCATCATTCACCCATCTGTCCACCCACTGACCCTTCACCGAGCAAGGCCGGTCTCGTCCTCGGGGTGCACAGGCCAGAGCGCACCCTGTTTTGGGCGCCGTGCAGCTCCCCCCGGGCCGGGCGGGGAGCAGGCCTCGCAGGCCCTCTGGAAGCCCGGGCGGAACCCCGCCCACCGTGTGCGCCGGGCCCGGCCAGCACGGGCCTCAGAGCCCAGAGTCGAACCCCAGAAGCCGTGGACAGGATGGGGTTGGAGGCCGGAGGCCTGGGGCCCGTGCCATGCCAGGGAGTGGCCTTTGCTGCCCAGCCAGCCTGCTCCCTTGTCACTCCCCCATTGAGTGAGCACCGAAGGGCCAGCGCGTGGGGACAGAAAGAGCTTTATTGTGCATGACAGAGGGCCGCAAGCAGGGGGCCAGGCGGGCACCGGCCTCGGTGGGGACGGTCCCCGCGGCTAAGCACCCGGGAGAGCCCCTTCCCTCCCCGGCTGTGAGGGCAGAGTCGGCAGGTGAGGGAGCACGGGGGACAGAGGTGGCAGCAGCGGCAGCTCGTGGAGGGGCGCGGGCAGCCAGGCGGGCCGCGGGCAGCAGCGTCTTCGGCGGGGCAGGGGGTGGGCATCGGGTGGACGCCCCCTAGGAGCGCGGAGGGGGCGCACGGCGGGAGACGGCCGCCTGCGGCACTAGGCCTCAGGACGCTGAAACACAGGGTGGGGGCGGCGTGAGGCTCTCTCTCTGGTGGCTGGTGGCTGGGGGGTCCTGCCCTGCACACCCCTCACTCACGGCACCACCCAGAGAGGCCTCCAGGCTCCAGGGGCCGAGGCTCAGCCGCTGCCCCCACCCGGGGAGCCTGCTACCTGAGGCTGGACCTGGCACCCCGAGTGCTGCTCAGGGGGGTCAAGCCGATGGAATGAATGCCACCCCTCCCCTGTCCGCCTGCAGGCGGCCTGTCAGCCCCTGTCAGCCCCCCCCAGCCCCTCTGAGACAGACCCGGGGTCCCTGTGGTTTCTGGGGTCCCTCAGAGGCAGACGGCAGCCCCCTCGGAGCTCTCCCCGGGCCCATCCACTCCTGCCCACCCACCCGGCCAGCGGCTGGGCCTCCCTCCTCCCCAACCCTGGCGGCCGTGGGTCGGGCCAGACACCGTTTGTCAACGTCCCGGCAGGCACGTGGCACCCAGAAACCGGGGCGGGCGGCTTGGCCCCGACCACCCCAGCCGGGAGGTCTGCGGGAAGACCCTTTTAGCGTAGCTCAGCGAAAATTGCTCCCACCTCCAGGCCAATCGACCTCTGACGATGCAGCCCCAGCCCCGAGCCCCTGGCCACCGCCCTCGCTGCCGGCTCGCAGCAGCCGCGCCTGTGGTCGGCCGGCGACGGCCCGGCGCCCCTCACGCGTCTGCGGGCGGGCAGGCTTCCTGCCCAGCACGTGCCCCCCACTTGGAGCTGGCTCGTGGGTGTCCCGGCCCCGGCTGCGTTCCAGCCCTCGTCCGTCACCCACCAGCGGCCTCTGTGGGCTGGTTTCTCACCCGAGGATGGTGGGGCTGCTGATGTGGACAGACGTGGCCGGAGCCGCAGAGACTGGGAAGGGGAAGCAGCGGCTCCCCGGGCCTGGGGTCCTCACGGACAACGGGGTTCCGTGTGCCCCTCTCTCTGGGGACAAGGCGGTGTTGGGGGTGAGCAGGGCCGGCTGACAGCTGCTGCCCCCCCCCCCACAGAGCGCAGCAATGCTCGTCAAGGCGACTCCCACACCCCCCAACTCGGATGGCCTATGCCCCCAGGGGCCGCCAGGACCCCCGCCACCCCTGCTCCCGAAGCCTGGGAGGGACAACCTGCGTCTGCAGAGGCTGCTGCGGAAGGCGGCCCAGAGGAAGACCGCCGGGGCCGGGCCCTCGGCCCCGCTGGGGACTTTCCGCGCCTCCCTGTCCCCGGTGAGTGAGGCCAGCCACGACCAGGAGCCCCCAGCCCGGGGCCCAGCCGAGGCCCCTCGTGTGGTGGCCACCCTCTCCCACACCCCTGTCATCCGCCACGTGGCGTCACCGCTACAGAAGTCCACACTCTCCTTCAGCTTCACCCAGCACAGGAGCCTGGCCACGCACTCTGTGACCCTGGGGCTCCAGCACTCGGAGACCCCGGCCCCAGAGCCCACCTGGGCCCCCAGTGGCTTCGCCCAGGTCTCAGCCTCCGCGGCTGGGGCCACTCACTCCAGCCAGGCACAGGTCCCTCTGGGGCCGTCCCCACAGGCTGGGACCCCTGAGCTCCCCCAGAGGGGCCCAGATGGGGGGCCTGGAGCGCAGCCCTCCATCCCAGTGGCCCATATCCGCCCCCTTCTTACTGGGACCCAGGATGGCAGGCCCTGGCCTGAGGCGCCCCCGGTGCCCAGGCTACCCCCTGGCTCCCACCAGCCTTCGGGACACAGAGAGGCCAGGCCCCGGGTGGTCGTACCCATTGCCCCCACCTGTCGCTCTCCGGGACCCTCGCCTCACAGGCCGGCCCCTGCAGGCCCCGAAGCCGAGCGCCTGGAGGAGCCCCCCATGGCTGGCCCTGCTTCGGGGGCTGAGCAGGTCTCTAGCCTTCCAGGGGCCTTGCCCCCCGCCTCACCGTCAGAGCCCAGCGCCTGCCCCGGCCCCAAAGCTGCATCCAAGCCCCGGCTCAGTGGCTGGATGCGCCTGAAGAAGCAGCTGATGGACGAGGCGAGTGAGCTGCCACTTCCGGGGCCGGAGCAGAGCCCCGAGCGGACGGAGCAGGGGGTGCTGGCCCCTGCCACGCCGGCACCCCAGCAGCCTCCCGAACCGGCCCCCCGACCCCCCGCCTCCAGGGCCTCTGGGCTGTGGGACGCCGTGCTGCACCGCATGGCGGTGGCCGAGTCTCGGAGGAGCCCGGTGGGGCCCAGGGATGGGGCGTGCGCCTGGCCTGGCCTTGGCCGCCTGCCCTACCTGTGCCGGCCTCGATTTAACGCCCGGAAGCTGCAGGAGGCGGCCACCCGGCCCCCTCCCACGACCCCCTCAGTGGTCCTGGAGCGGAGGCCCCAGCCCAGGAACTTCAACCGCACGGCGGCTGGATGGAGGCTCCAATGAATGGCAGTGGGGGCAGCCCCAGGCTTGGGACCAGGGGTCGGGCAGGAGCCGCAGCCACGGAAGAGCAGAGCAGGGCCCAGTGGACCTGGGAGGGGCCCGTGGAGGCCAAAGGAGCCTGGCAGTGGTCAGGCCGTTGGGAGCAACAGGTCGGCGCCCAGGAGCGCGAGGACCAGGGGAGTTGGGGTGAGGCTGGAGCAGGTGGACCAGGGAAGAGGCTGCTTCTGTGTTTGGGGGGCAGGGTATGGGGGCGCACGGTAGGAAGGGAAGTGCCCAGGCCCACTGTGAGGCCCGGCACTGGCAGGGCTGACCTCCCACTGGCGCCCGCCGGGTGCCCAGGGAGGCCTGGGGGCTGGAGTGAGGGAGGGCCCGGCTCAGCCCCCGGACGCCGTGGGCGGCAGACGCTGCGGCAATGGGAGAGGGACGTGGAGGTCACTGGGGAGACCCCGGGCCACAGCCCTGGACAGGACTCAGGAGGGGAAGCAGAGTGGAAGGGGGCTGGCCGCCCCGCCCGCCCCGGGACACAGCGGGTTGTTGCGCACGGATCCTGGGACCCAGGCCCTGAATAAAAGTGCCACGCCACAGCGGTGGGTCCCTTTCTGACTCTGTGCCAGCCGATGGGGAGGGCAGCTGGGACCACAGAGGCCCCCAACACAGCAGGAGGGCCAGACCCTCAGCCCGCCAGGGTGGGGCCGGAGATGCCCGCTGGGAATGCTGTGGCCTCCTCCCGGGAGGGAGGTTGGAACTGCCCCCTCAGAGAAGAGTGGAGCGGACGGAGGCCCAGGGAGGAAGGGGTCCGGATGGAAGGTGGGGCGGGTCGGGGAAAGCCTACAGGGGCGGAGCTCCCAGCGGGGTCTGGGTTTTGGCCGAATCTGAGGCAGGCCCTCGGGCCCTCACAGACTCCTTCGTAGCCACTGACACATGTTAGTGAGCAGGACCCATCTACGCCACCGTGTTCCTGGAAGATGCGCCATGCGACCCCCGCTGGCGGCCGTCCTGGACTCACCGAGGGGGGAGGCCTAGGGTTCCGCACCCTCGTCCATCAGCACCTTCTCGTACTTCCCATGTCCCGTGGCCACAAATTTGTACCTCTTCCCGGATGGGGTGCTCTGCTGGGGAAGGAGGCCGAGAGGCAGGATGAACACAGCAGAAGGGGTCTGGCACCGCCTCCAGGAAGCCCGCTTAGGTTCACTGAGAACTGTCCCTCGGCTTCTGCCTGCTGGGCCCACACCCCCCGCGTCAACCCCATTGAGACTCTACCTTAGCTGCCGTGGGCATCTTGGAGTCTCCCTTCTGTTCCCAGAGGTTCTTCTTGCTCATGTCCCCGGCTACAATGTCCTGGGGGCAGAAGGAAGGACAGATGCAGACCGCAGCCTGGGGGTTCCAAGCGCCAGGCCCTCTCTCCCGCCTCACCTGGCAGGGGGCCGGGCCTGCCTGCCTTCTGGTATGAGGACGAGGGAGAGGCAGAGATGGGCAGGGGGCACCTTCGGCCTGCCCTCCGCCCAGCAGCCTTCTCCACACGGCCATCCCTGCTCAGGGCCGGCCTGGTGAACCTCGGCTCCCGAGGACACCCTGGGGCTCTGTGTGCCCACACTCATGCGTGCAAGGCCTCATACGTGCCTCCCAGAGGAGCCCAGCCTCGCCCGGGAGGGTCCTACCTTGCAGGAGGGGCTCTTGGGCGCAGACTGAGCCTGCACCTCTCCCATCTCCCACCGGCTCTTGGTGCTCGCCACGGTCATGCTGGGCAACTCGATGGAGGGCTGACGGGCTAACTTGGGGGTCCGGCCAGCAGTCTGCAGAGGAGACAGAGCCCGTGGCCGGTTCAGTGGACCCATCAGAGGCCCATGTGAGAGCCACCAGCACACAGAGACAGCTGCCGTGTCCCCGTCCCCTCGCACTGGGCTCCCCACGCAGGGGGGTTGGAGTGTTCCAGGTGGAGGCCAGCGCCTCCTTTCACTGCACTGGTGAGGCACCCGGTTCTGGGGAACCTGGGTGGTGGGGGCAGGAGGCAGGCACAGGCGACCCTCCTGCTGCTCCTGGCACAGAGCTGGAGGGCGCGGGCGAACGAGAGGGTGCTGGGTCTGGGAATGTGGCGTGGATGGTGGGGTGTTGGCTGGATGGATGGACCTTGGTTGTATGGACAGAGGTTGGTTGGATGGAGGGCTGTGGGGTGGAGGGAGGGGTGTGGGGTGGAGGGAAGGGTGTGGGGTGGAGGGAGGGAAGGATGGACAGAGGTTGGTTGGATGGAAGGGTGTGGGGTGGAGGGATGGATGGATGGAGGTTGGTTGGATGGACAGAGGTTGGTTGGATGGAAGGGTGTGGGGTGGAGGGATGGAAGGATGGACCTTGGTTGTATGGACAGAGGTTGGTTGGATGGAGGGCTGTGGGGTGGAGGGAGGGGTGTGGGGTGGAGGGATGGATGGATGGATGTTGGTTGGATGGACAGAGGTTGGTTGGATGGAGGGCTGTGGGGTGGAGGGAGGGCTGTGGGCTGCATGGGGAACAGCTGTGTGCACAGAGGAGAGAACTGTGGGGGGTGCTGGATGTACCTCGACGGCCTGGGTGTACTGTTCCAGGCGCTCTTCGATCTTGGAGATGGGCAGGACTGGCTGGGACCTCTTCACACTGTTACTGGAGGGTCGGAGAGGGTCACGCCCCGTGCCCCTCACTTTCTGCACCCACCCCAAGGCCTAGGAAAGCTCCCTCAGGCCCCCAGTGTCCACCCCTTCCCTGCTCTTGGCGAACCCTGGGTCCTGGCCCAAAGGGCCATCGGACATACCTCTTCTGCACACAGCGGTTCAGGGACTCAGTTCTGTCGGTGAGCTGTGCAGGGCGGGCAGGGGCATGAGCCTTCCCGGCCAAGGGAGGCCCAGGCCCCGTCCCTGCCCTGGAGCTGCTCCGTCTGATGCGGGGTGTGGGGCGGGGTGGGAGAGGGCAGGGGCTGGGGGGCGGCCGAGGAAGAGCAGGAACCTCCCGGACCCAGGGCTGGCCTGCTCGGGCTGGGAGAGGGGACAGGCAGCAGGCTCGAAGCTTGACCTACTTTGGTGCTGGGGCTCAGGGGAGGGGAGCCGGGCTCTGTGGTCTGCTCTAGGACCAAGGGACTCGGTGTCCTGGGCTGCTGATATTCCTGGGGCTGAGAACAAAAAAAAGCTGAGCCTTCGGGACTTAGGGGACTGTCCCCTTCGCTCCCCACCCGCCCCTCCTGGGACGAGTTGAAGCAGTTCCCTCCCCTCCCTGGGCCTCAGGTCCTTCCCGGCCCCGGCATGTTCTGGTTCTGGAATCCTCTGCAGCAGGGCCTGAACAAGGGGGATCCCCACCCCCCCCCAGACTATGAGTGAGGGGTCCCACCAGGCCCACAGGGCGTGCAGGGAGCAGGAGACGCAGCCCAGAGGCCGGGGGGTCACTGCCGTCACCTGCTCCTCCGCCCCCCAGGCCTCTGCGGGGCCCAGGCTGTTCTGACCGGTTTCCTCGGGGCCCACGGGCCCTGTGCCCTCCGGCCCTGGCCCCTCCAGGGGCCCTGAGCCAGGGCGCAGACGCAGTCCCTCCAAGCGGGCTCCGGTGGGGCTCAGCTCGTCACCACCCTGGTCCCCACAGGGCCTGTGGGGGAAAGAGGAGCACAGCCTGACCGAGGGTCTCTAGGTTGCCCCATCCAAGCCCCTCCCATTTCTTAGGCTCGGTGCCCCCCCTGCAAGATGGGAATGGTCAGACTCCTTGAGTGCTGAGAAACCCCGAGACCTAGCACCTCTGGGGCCGCAGCGACCCCCTGCCCCCCGCGTGGAGGGCCACCCACAGGCTGAGGCTGGAGCTGGTCTCTGGGCCCTGTGGACCGGCCCTGCCTCATGTCCTGCCCGTCCCCGTCCACCCTGTGGCCGAGGCCGCCCTGCTCTGTGGGTGGCGAGTGGGCCGCAGGGACGAGGCTGCTGGGTGGGAATGAGGCAGGGTCTGTGGGTGGTCTGGGGGGTTGGTCAGCTGGCGTGCAGGCCAGGGCCGGTCCCAGCTAGGACGCATCCCCAAGGAGAGGGGCCCACTCAGCTGGCCACTCGAGGGGGTGGGGGCCAGCCCTCTGGCAGCGGCCGCTCTGCGCTTGAGTGGGACTGAACCTGGAGAAGAAGGTGGGAAATTCTCGAGTTTTCCATGATTTCAGGCCCCTTGGTGTCCGTGCCAACCAGGACCCAGACCCACCGCCCAGGGTGGGCTGGGGTCCAGCCAGCGGCAGGCACACAGAGGGCCCATTCAGCCGCGGCGGGGCTGTGGGGGCGCAGGGCCAGGCAGGTGTGGGGGTGCGGGGAGGAGAGCCCAGGGTCCCACAGCAGTGCCAAAGCGCCCCCTGCTGGTGGGACGGTGCCGGCTGCAGGCTGGGAGGAAGGAGCGGGCGGTGGGCCACCCAGCCGGCCCGGCCCCACTTAAGGAAGGCAGAGTGTGCACCAACTTACAAAGGCAGACGGGGGAAACTGAGGCCTGGAGGGGCCGGTGGGCAGAAGACCAAGCCAGGCCCAGGGCCCTCGCTAGGCAGGGACTCGGGAGGTGTGGGCATCTGTCTGCTTGTGTGGGGAGGAGAGGGGAGGGCCGTGGAAAGAGGGCCCAGAGCTGGGAGGTGGCCTGGATTTGGGGGGCAGTGGAGATGGGGGTCGGGCCACACTCAGGGCGAAAGGGGACCCTGTTCGCCAGCTGGAGCCCCCCAAGTGGAACTGGGACCCTGAGCAAATGGCCTGCAGTCGTGGAGCAGCAGCCTAGCCTTTCAGACTCCTGAGCTGGGGGGTGGGGGGCCGGGCCCCAGGAGCAGCCCCCAGCTCCGGGTCTAGGGGTACTCGGGCCCCCACCCCCCGCCCGCCCCGGTTCAGTTCGGCAAACACGTCTGCACATCTGGAAAGTTTGTCCCCCAGGCCCCGGCACATCTGGAAATACCTGCTCCCCTCCGTGGGAATGGAGGCCAGCCAGCCCCGAGGGAGGAAGGGGCGGGCGGGGGGCCAGAGCCTCCATTACGTAAGTGGGCTGCAGATGTGGGCTGATGTGGCAACACCCGCCGGCCGCAGCTGGTCTGGACGGGGCCCAGGGCCCTGGGGAGCCCTGGGATGAGATTTCCTCACCGCCGCTCCGAGGCCCCTCTTGCCGCCTCACTGTCTCGCTCTCTTCCTCCCTTTCCCCCTCGCAGTCATGGGGCCATTTTGGGGGGCTGGCTGGAAGGCAAGCTGAGGCCTACTGCTCAGGCACATGTTGGGGAACTTGCAGAGCCCTGCTGCAGGCCTGTCTCCTGCCTTTAACCCTCACTTGCCTGTCCCCATCCAGCTCCTCCTCCACACCCGCTCCGAGAGCCAGTGGCTGCTGCTCCGGCTTCTGGGCCCAGTCGCTGAACCCCTCATCCTCGTCCAGTCCGGGATGGTCCGGGGACTTCAGGCTGTGGGCAGAGAGCAGCTTGGACTCAGGCTGGGCTGGGGGGTAGGGCCAGGGACCCCGCCCCTGCTCTCTCCCCGACCCCGGGTGCCGGGAAGGCGCTCTGCATGGCTGCACCCTGTCTCCCATTGTCAAAGAGTCCCCAAGGGCAGGACTGTGTCCCACTTCACTAAGGCAGGGCACCCCCAGAGCAGAGTTGCGTCTCCCCCGTTAGCCCAGGGCACCCCCAGAGCAGAGCTGTGTCTGCCCCGTTAGCCTGCGTCCTGTATGTGCGTGACCAGTGTCCTCCTGCCCTCCTAGCTGAACCCCAGGCTCCTGCCCTGGGCAGCAGTGTGAGCCCCTGTACCCCATCTCCCAGGACAGACTTGCCACCCTGGTGCTTGGGGGCCCCCGCCTGCCCCCCAGCCTCTGCGGGCTCTGCACAGGACCAGGCCCGGGGCCGTGACCGCTGCAGGACCCCACCCCGCCCAGAGCTGCTGACTCGGAGAAAACGGAACAAACAGGGCTGGGGAGGGGGCCCTGCTGGAAGCACAGCCCAGCCGGCTGTGGAGGCCTCGGGGCCCAGGGGGGAGCGAGCCAGCAAGGGCCTGCCAAGTTGGACTTGGTCTCTGTGAGTCACCGGCAGCGGGGAGCCTGGGCGGGGGGCTTGGGGCCCAGGGCCGCGCAGCTGGGGTCAGAGTACGTCCAAGTGAGGGCCGGGCCACTCAGCACGGCCAGGGCCTGCGCCCCAGAGGCTGGCCGGGTGCGGGGCCGCATGCGGGGCCGGCCAGGCAGGCAGAAGGCTCCGCGGGCCCCCGGGGCTGGGATGCCCTTCGCCCACGAACGGCCACTAGGGCCTGTGTCCAGCACAGCCGGGCCCTGGTCATCTCGTCTGCTGTGTGGCTTCCAGGGTACGGCCTGGCCCCCAGCGTCCCCCTCTGCCCGCACCAGCTTACAGCTTCTCCTGTTCCGGGGACCCCGGGGACTCCGGGGACTGGCCACCATGGTCCTGGTCCTGGTCCTGGTCCTGCAGGCTGTCCCTCTCCCTCCAACGTCGCTCCTGGGACTTCTCCTCCTCATCCTCCAGGCCCCACTGTGTGGCAAGTCTGGGGGACACAGAGATACGGTCACGTCTTGGTCTACACCCTCTGCTCCTAGCCAAGCAGGCATCACCGGGGCTGCCTGGTGAGGGGGCTGCACTGCCTCGGCCCTCTCTGGGCCTCAGTTTCCCCCTTTTTTAGGCAGAGTCATGTGTGATGGCCGTGAAATTGCCCTGGGCTGGGGGTCCATCCCGGGGCTCTGTAGGAGTCTGACGTCTGCTTGCCCCCCGGGCATGGTGGCCAGGCCTGGAGGGACCCAAGGGCCCCCTTCCACCAGCCTGGGGCCCTGGACCCAAGCAGAGCCAGGCTACAGGCCAGAGAGGTTCAGGCTCCAGGCAGGGCCCCAGAGAACATGGCGGACGTTGCTGGAGGACTAGAGGGCCGATGTTGTGGGTCCCCCCCCCCCGAGTCCAGTGGCGACTGCCCAGTTGGACATGGCCGGCCCCGGCCTGCATCGGACAGGGGCAAACCCAGCCAGACAACTGCCCGCTACCTCGGCCACCCTGGCTGCGCACCCCTTCCTGCTCCCTAAGAGCACGGCGACCGGGCAGAAGGTGGCCCCTCAGGAGACCCGAGGCCCAGAGAAGAGGACCCTCCAGCGTGAGCCCGACCCCAGAACTGGGGGCCCTGCAGGGTCGGCCTGTCCAACCCCACCAGCCCCTCTCAGAGTCCCCCGTGTAGTCGCCCAGGGTTGCTTCACAGACGGGGAAGCTGAGGCCCATGGCAGAGCCAAGGCCATGAGAACACCCCCTACCTCAGGGCCACACGAGGTTGACCTGGGACCGGGGGTCCTCCACCGCCCCTTCCACCGCCCCAGCCGCCCCTTCCCTGGCTCAGCCGGTCCTGGACCCTCAATGTCTAGCCAGCATGGTCCTCCCTCCCGACTCTGCTCCCCTACAGCACAGGGGGAGCCCTGGGTCCCCACTTCTGCAAGGCACACTGCCCCCCAGCCCCAGCCCCTCCTGCCCGTGTCCGCTGCCTGACCCCGCAGCGCAGCTCGCTATCTCGGGGGCCTCCTGCGGGCCCCCGCCCCCCAGCCTCCGCGCCAGCGCGATCTAATCTCTCCTAAGTCTCCTCGGAGCCTCGCAGACAAAAGCCAGGCCCCCCCACAGCCGCAGCCCCGGGCCTGCTCCCCCCACTGCGGCCGTGGGACTCTGGCCTCCGCACCCCCATCCACCCCCCCGCTCCCACCCCTGCAGGCCCCAGGGAGCCCCTGATCCCCCACACCTGGCCCCATCGCATGGGCCTGAAGCCCCGCCCCTGCCCCTTCTCTGTGGAATGTGGAGGCTGGAGGGCTCTCGGGGCGGTGGGGGGCCTGCGGCCCAGGGTCTGCCGTGCGCCCAGCAGCCCCTCCAAATGGGGGTTGGGAGGGCGGTGCTGTGTTCCAGGCTGTGGCATGGAGGGAAGGCGCCCTCAGCCCTGTCCTGAGGCAGCCAGGGGACACCCCACCCTCCTTGGAGGAGTGAGAAAGCCATTTTGTTCCCCTTGTGCAGACTCCATGTGCAGACTGCAAGGACGTGTTCCTGCCGGGTTTTTGGACAAAGCGTGGGCCCAGTGCGTGTGTTTGGGGGGGGGCGGTGAGGCCTGGTGGGGGTGTGCTCAGGCCTGGTGGAGGGCCTGCCTGGGCCCCCTCTCTCCCACACAGCGCTGCTCTCCTGCCCCCAGACCCTTGGGCCGAGCCCTGGGGGTCCAGCCCGGCGGGGTGCCGAGGCCACACCGTGTCTGGGGTTTGGGGGAGCGCAGGCTCACCCGCAGGGCGCGTGTCCTGGCCGCCAGAGCCTTGCCCGGGCCCGCGCTCAGCGGCTCCCAGCACACGTGGCCGGGCCTCCCGCACACACGCACACCCACACACTTCTCCACGGGCCCCACACTCAGGCCCACGTCGGCACACGTACCCACACTCCACGCGTGGGCCCAGGCAGCCCACGCCATGCCCACACACGTGCTGCCCGGGCGTGCGCGTGCCTAGCAAACGTGGGAACAAGGTGAGGGCCAAATGGCAGGTCTGGCCCCTGAGCTCTGTTTACTGTTTGCCGGGCCATCGCCCTGGCGACGCGCTGGCTGAGGCCAGGGTGTGCTGGCTGACTGCGCCCTCCCGGAGGCCCATCCGCGAGTCGCCCCCCTGCTCGGGGGGACTCCCAGAACCGCCCTGGGAAGGGAGCTGGGGAAGCAGAGTGGGGGTGCTGGGTGGGGGTCCCCGGCATCCCCCCAGAGCTCCGCTCTGAGAGAAGCCACCCCAGCTCGCAGCCCCTGACCCAGAGGCCCAAGGACAAGCAGCCCGCTAGGCCCCTTCCCTCCCTCCGCCTCCCTCCCCTCCCTGAGGCCCCAGGATGTGAGTAATGCAGCCCCTCCTGGCCCCTCCCATGACCTCAGCCCCTCTCTGATCCACAGCTGGGCCCTGTTCTGGGAACTGAGATGGGGGAGGCTCTCTTGGGGTGGGGTGGGGGCCCCGGCCTGGGAAAGGCGCCCCCGGCCCGAGGCCCAGGCCCCTTGGCAGGCTCAGCGGAGCTGTCAGGACGCTGGCGACAGCCGGCCGCCCGCGGCCCCGGCGCGGCCGCCGCAGCTGCAAGGGATTTGCTGTTCCTAAGCCGCTGCAATTAGGCGATTTCCTGTGTCTGTTCTGGCTCCGCGCTGGAGGCCCAGGGCTCAGCCCCGGGGGTGTGGGAGTGGGGCTCGGCCCCCCTCTCGGTGTGGGGCTCCCCCGCGGGGGCTCTGCCTCAGCCGCATGCGCAGACCCGCAGCCTCTGGCTCCCTGCTCCCTGTTCAGAGTGGGGGGTTCTCTGAATTCAGGGGTTGCCCGCCCTGGCCAGGGCCTTCGCCTGTGGGTCCCCGACTCAAAACCCCCGCCCCCTCCTCTCTCCTCTGCAGCCCCAGTCCCAGCCCAGGGCCCACACGCTATCCTGGGCCAGGCCTGGCCCTGTGGCTCGGTCCCACCCACTTCCTCCCCTGCCTGCGTGGCAGGCAGCTGAAGGGGCTTCAGGCCTCGGTCCTGTCTCGGCTCTGCCCCCTGCAGGCGGCTAGTGGGCCGCCCCACCAGCTGTCAGCGGTGTCCCCAGGGCTGCTCAGTGGCCTGGGGAGGGCTGGGGGCTCAACTGAGGGGCTGAGGCCCAAGGGAGGACGGCCAGCCGAGGCTGTCACGAGGGACTTCTTCCATAAGCCCGCCCGAGGGGCTTCACAGCCACAAGACCCTGGACACCATGGTGGGAGTTGGCTGGGAGGCCCAGGGAGCTGGACTGGTCCCCCAAGCTCATGCCCGGCCTCCCTGGGGTCTCCTGTGCCGAGGACCAGAGTGGACACATGCAGAGGGACAGGCCATGCATGCAATGACCCACAGAGATCCCAGGGATGGAGAGCGCCCCGACTGCCTCAGTCACACAGCAGGCCCCCTGCCCTCTGGGGTGCCCCCTACTGATGGCACAATGCAGGGTCCGGTCCCGGGCAGCCTGGGGAGGGTCTGCAGCAGAGCGCTGCCAGGGGCCTGGCTGGCACTCCTCTTGGCGGGGGCAGCTGGGGGTGCAGCTGTGGAGGGGAACAGCCGGAGCACGCAGAGCCCTGAGCCAGCTCCAGAGCAGGTGGGTGGCGGGTGGGGTGCAGGAGCGCAAACGGGCGCCCTGGGCGGGGGCGAGGGTGCGTCGCAGCTGCAGGGACCCTCCCCCACCGCCCTGGCACTGGTCCAGGCCGCCCCCTCCAGCAGCACGTTTCTGAGTGTGCCTAGGCCTGGCTGAGCCTGGGCAGGGCGGTCACCCCTGTCCCAGTGGTGGCAGCCTCGTGGGCCAGACACCCTGCCGGGCACCCTGCCGGGCACCCCACCGCCCAGGGAAGCTCAGGGGGCGACCTTCAGCTTGGCTCTGAAAGCTGAGCAGAGGCCTGTGGGGAGAAGGGGAGGACAAGAACCCCAGAGCAGCTGAGGCTGGGCGGGGCAGCTTCGGGGAGATGGGTGGAGGTCTCCGCGTCCCCCCGGAGGGCAACTCGGGCTGGGCCTCCGCCGGGGCAGGCCCGGTCAGGTTAGCTTTCTGGAAGGAGGCCCGGCCGGCACGTGCAGGAGGGAGAAGGGACAGGCAGGGACGGTCTGCCTGCATTTTGGGAATCCAAGGGGGTGGGTCTGGGGGACGCACACAGTTAGCCTTGGGTACATGGAGTGGGCCGCGTGGGGACCCCCAGGAGCTGGTCCATGAGGTGGACCTGCGGGTGGGGGGAGGGCTCCGGGGGCAAGTCTGAGGGAGTCGGGACGGCCAGGGACTAGAGGTGAGAGCTGGAAACACCAGCCAAAGCCCCCTCCTCTGGCCAGGGTGCCACCTCCCGGTTGGAGCCGAGGCCTCTCCGGCAGGTTCCTGGCTGATCATAGTCAGGCCGCCACTGGGGGCTGCCTCAGTGTCCCCACGTGTGAGGCTCAGGGAGCTGGCGGGCGCTCCTGACCACCATGGGCAAGGGCCCTCCCAGGCAGGACCTGGGGGCCACGGCAGCCCCTGGGGGAGATTCCGGGCCAAGCTAAGCACTCCCAGGGTCACAGAAGTTCTGAGCGGGGACGAATGTGTGGTGGGTGGTGGCTGAGAGGGGTGTGAGGAGGGGAGCCAGCTGCCATCCTTGTTGGCTGCCGGATGAGGTCTGCAGGGGCAGGGCCGGGGGAGGGAGGAGGGCTGAGTGCAGGGACCCAGGGGCCAAGGCCAGGCTGGCTAGCACTCGGTCCCCCAGGGAGGGCGGGTCCCCCCAGGGACCACGGAGGTTGGGCTATGGCAGCGCCACGTGGTCCGGGACCCCAGGCCCGGCCTCCAGCGCCCCACAGTGAGGGGGCTCCAATCCCTTCAGCAGAGTGACAGCTGGGACCCTCCCCCAGGAGGCCCAGTCCCAGCCACCCGAGGGCGGCACAGCTGGCAGGCCTATGCCCCCAAGAAAGGCGGCTGGCGTCCCAGGAGGGCCGGGCCGGGCCCACACCACACACCCTGTCCCTCTGGGCCTTGAGCGGCCTCCAGGAGAGGGACACATAGGCCTGTGGAGGGTGCGGGCTGGACCTGAGGGACCAGGCTCTGGGCGGGTGGGTCCCCCGGGGCACCCAGTCCTGTCCTGGGGGGGCAGGGCACAGCCGAGGCCTCCGGGAGCCCGAAGCTGGTGGGTGAGAGGCCGGCTGCCCTGGGACCACGCGCTCTGAGGAGGGGCACCCCAGGGGCACCTCCAGCAGGGGTGGGGGCCTGTCCAGCCCCGGGGGGGTGGGCAGGGGCCATGTGACCTGGGCAGTCAGCTTTCCCTCTCTGAGCCGCACCTCGGGGTCAAGCCCAGGGCAGCTGGTTTATGGGCATCTTTACACTGTCAGCCAGTGACCTCAGCCCGGGCTAACGGCGCCCCCTCACAGTGTGGTCCCCGAGGGGCTCGCTGGGCTGCCCCACCCAGCACCCCCTTGCCTTCCCAGCGGGATAGTACTTGGGAGCCTCTGGTTTGGGGGGACACCCAGCTGCCCCACCCAGAGCTACCGAAGCCAAGGCACCCCCTTCTTCAAGTCTCTCCTGGCTGGCCCCCAGGACAGTCCCGGACCTCGGGTCAAGCCCCAGCCTTGATCTCCGGGCCACAGTCCCACCGGCCCTCGGCGGCCGGTCTCTGATTCCTGACCCCACCAGCCCGTCCAGTCTCAGGGTGCCACTCACTTCTCGCCCAGCTCAGACGGGGCCGCCTCCTCCCTCCCCTCCCCAAGCTCCTGGCTCCCCTCAACGACACCTGGTACCTGCCACCTGCTCCATAATCCCCTCACCAGCCCAGCTCCCAGGCCTCAGTCTGGGCAGTACCCCGCCCTCCGCCAGGTGCCGGGAGCCCAAGGGTGGTGAGATTCCCTCCCTGCCCTCACAGATCCGGGCGTCTGCCGAAGGCGCCACACGGCGCCGACCCTGACACCCGACACCCAGCACCCGGCCCACGGGGTGGCACCCGGGCCACACGGGAGGGACCCTACCCCAAGCTTCTGTTTGGAGAGGGGAGTAGCTGGCAGGAACTCCTCTCAAGAGTGGCCCCCGTACCTGCGATGCCCCCCTCCCCCCAGAGGGACAAGGGGACGAGGTGCAGAGAGGAAGGGTCATCGAGTTGTTATTTGGGCATCTGGGGTCCATTGAGAGGGGCAGCGGCCCAGGGGTGACAGGAACCTCACGCTCGCCCAAACCCCTTTCTCTCCCTGTGCTCCCCAGAACCCAGACTTGAGGCCCCCCGTGATCCGCAGTCCCAGCATCTCCTGCGCAGTCACACTGGGGGGCGCAGTGGGGCAGGAGGGGTGCCTGCTTCCACGGGTCCCCGCCCTCTGCACCCCGTCTGCCTTCTGTCCTCACGGCTGAGTGAGACCCCCGCTGGGACTCTGGGGCCCGGTGGCCCATGCCTGGACAGCAGCCGTTCCCAGCGCCCCCGTGATGCACCTGGCCCTGGGGCTGCGGCAAAGCCTTCCCCCCACACCTGTGACACCCTGGCTGCCTCGGAACCCAGGTGGCTCTTGTGGGGCCGGACTCTGAGTGCTGGTTGGGGCGACCACAGCACCAGCCTGCCTACCGCACTGCCCAGCCCAAAGGCACCCAGGCAGCCCCCGCCCCACCTGCCCAGACAGCCCGAGGGGACGGTTCTGTGATGGAGGCGCTGCCAGCCAGGCAGCGGGCAGGTCCAGCCCCAGGGCGCTGCACCCCCTCGCAGGGGCCCTTGAAGACCCTGCCAAGGCCGGACACCAGCCCTCCGGCCTGCGGCCCCTCTACCCCGGGCGGGTCCGGGACCACCCACCTCTGCCTCAGAGCAGGGTTCAGAGTCCTGCTAGCTGGCCAGTCCCCTCCCTCTGGCCGCTGTCCTACCTCTTGTGATGTGCTACGTGGTCAGCCTCTTCCACACCTCGGCCCCCATCAGCTCTGACCCAGCACCTGGCCGGGCTTGGGGTCGGAAGTCAGAGCCTCTCTGGCTTTGGGGTCACCTGACCGTGGGATCCGGCAGGGCTGCGGTGGGGCCGCCTGGCTCGCCACCTTCCCTCTGCCCACCCGGCACGCCGCGCGGCACTCGGGTCTTTCTGTTCCCTCCGCATCCCTGACCGCAGTGCTGCAGGGGCCTGGGCCAAGTGCCACGCCGCCCCGGAGACCTTCCTGGGCACCCCGGCCCCCAGCGCTCGGCACCCTTCCCGCCAAACAGTCACCCCGCCCCCTCACGCGACTATACGCCACATTGCTCGGCCCCACGCCCAGGGACCAGACTGAGGGGCTGACCACGCAGCACCCCGACTGACCGGCAGCCCCGGCCGCGTCTCCAAGTCCAGCCCAGCCTCCAGGAGAGCTGGGCGCTGCCGAGCAGGCTGGGACTGCCTGGCACAGCTCTCGAGCGCTCACGAGGCCAGGCCTTGGCACGTTCCCGGACGCGCGACTGAAGGCTGGCACTGGCTGGAGCCTCTCCATCCCGCACCCCTTCTCCTGCCCCGGGCCCAGACCCCTGCTCACCCGAAGGCCCCACGCGCAGCTCTGCCCGCGGCCGCTGCGGAAGCGGCTCCCCCCTCCGTCCCGCCCCAGGGGCTCCGTGCAGCACCCAAAACCCAGCTGCCCACCTGGGCGGGGGCCGCTGCCTGGCACCCATCCACGGGTCCGTCGGCTCCGGCTCCACCCTCCCCGGGAGCCCTCAACTCCCAAGTGCACAGAGCAGCCAGATGCCCGCCCTGCCTGGTGCCCCCACAGCACCTCTGACCCGGAGCCGGACGCCTCGCCTGGCCCCCAGCCTCTTTTCTGAAGCCATGGTTGCTCCCTGGGGCTGATCGTGCCAGGGGTGGCGGCAGGGGGTAGGATGGGCAGAGCAGAAAGACCCAGGGCTTTGCCGCCAGACTGGCCCTAACCCGCCCTGCCTGCGGGCCCCCTCATTCCACAGATCCCACCGCCTGCCCCCCTTCAAACAGCGGACAAGACCCCAGCCTCCCTGGGCTCAGCTACGGCCGGCGCGGGGCCCGGAGCCTCCTGGAGACGTGCTCTGGGTGCCCTGCCGGCTGAGGCCGGGGTCAGACCGCACGCACTCAGTGCCCTGAGGTCCCGGCCACGGGCCAAAGGCTGAAAGGGGCCAAGTGTCCCCTCCACAGCCAGCACGTGGCTCCTGGTGGCCACCTTCCCGTCAGCCCATTACAGATGAGGAAACCGAGGCTTAGGGTCGGGGTCTCCCCGCTGCTCCTGCAGCCGCTGCGGACGGCACGGCCGGGGTCCGAACACGCAGCCCCTGACGGCAGGTGTGTGGCCAGCCTGGTACCCACCTGGAGGTCCACACTCAGCTCCCCCCACTACACGCCCTTCCCTGCACCTCCTCTCCACCTCACCTGGCGGCCCGGCCTTCCCTTCCTCCCTCCACCTTCTCCATCCTGGGGTCACCCCCTCCCACCCGCCCCTCTGGCCTCCCCTCAGCTGCATGGGGCAATGCATGGGCACCGGTCAGCCTTGGGGGCACTCTTAGCCTCTCGGGCACTTGGCCTCTCCCTGCTCCTGACCCCTGCTTTGTACCCGTCCTGTCCCCAGACATTCCAGCCTGGGGGTCTCTCCCTGTCCCCCACTTCCTCTTCCTGCCACCATGGTGACCCCCTGCACCGTCCTCTCCTCCTTTCCCCTGCCACCCAGGCACATCCCGGCGGAGCCGCGGGGCCTCCCTGCCCGCCATGGCCGCAGCCATCACTCGGGCCAAACTCTCACCTTCTGGGCTGAGCCGGGGTCAGACTCCACTCAGCGCCAGGACCCCACCCTTCCTCCAGCCCCCCTGGGGCTACTAGGGGCTTCTCAGCCCTGAGCTCCCACCTGCCCCTGGACACCTGTGTGGGCCCATGCCTGGCCGCCAACCCAAGCTGAGCCCCTCTGAGTGTAGTTAGGTGTTCCTGGGGCCGTGTCCCCTGCAACCAGCCCTCGGCGTGGGGAGCCGCGGCGTGCCTTCTGGGGGCTCTGGCACGGGGCTGGGGGTCCGCCTCCAGGCTGGTACACCCGGCCGCCGCTCACTCACCGCTCTGCCCAGCTCCTGTCCCCAGGCTGGAGCTGGGGCCTGGCCGGAGCGTCGGCGCTCTGGGCTCCTGCCCTGACACCCTGCCCAAGGGGCTGGGCCACTCGGTCCCCGTGCCCCCTGCTGCCGGCTCCTTCTGGCTCCCAGGCCAGCACCCGCTCTGGCCGACAGACCACCCGGTCCCGAGGCAGCGCCGCCCACCAGACGCCCGGCCCTGCCAGGGCGGGGGGCCACCCCACCCGCAGACCCGGGCCTTGGGTGGGCCTGCGGCAGCCACGCCCTTTGGACACTGTGGTTTGGAGGCCTGGCTCCCCCCCCCCGCCGGCCGGCCCGGCTGCGGGGGCCTCGTCCTCACCCCGCTGGTCCGGCCGGGGTCCCCGGAGTGGGGGGAGAGCTGGTGCGGAGACCTCCATGGGCTCGCCGTGGACCGATGCCTGGGCCAGTGGCAGACAGGCCCCCACAGGGGCTCCTTCAGCCTCCAGAGCCAGCCCCGAGGGACCGGGAGCCAAACGCCATGAGGACGCCAGCAGGGTGACCCTGCCAGCCCAGCCTCCACTGAACACACCAGGCACCCAAGGCCTACGGGCCCAGGGCTCAGGTGACTCCTGGCAGTGAGTGGGCTTGGGGTGCCCTGCCTCCCTCTCATGATCCCTAACACTGGCCTGAGGGAAGCCTCCACCCGCCTGGGGGGGCGGAGGGGGCGGGGGAAAGCTGGAGCTGGGCGCCAGGCTCCGTGGGGGTGGGGGCCAGCCCTGGGCCCAGGCTGGGGCATCCTGCCGGGCAGACAGGAGGACCCGGAGTCTGGGAGGCCACATGACTGGCACAGCCCCGGGGACGAGCCAGGTTTGGGTGAGAAAGACACTGTTGGTGCACAGCTTGTCACAGAGACGACACCCCCTGCCTGCCCCTGCGCCCCGGCACAGGTGCGGGGAGAGCCCGGGCAGCCAGCCGTGGGGGGCCGACTGAAGCAGTGGGCGAGGCGGGTGGGCTCCCCACTCCAGGGTGGCCGTGGGCAGGGCGGCGGCCTCTCGGGGCCTGGCTCTTCCCCCCTCAGACAGGGGCTGGGGTTCAATCTCTTGGATACAGAGACCTGCTAACCACCGGGACAGGGGTGGCAGAGTCCCCGGCCTGGCAGGGCCGAGGAGGCCCTGTGGGTGTCGCCAGGGCGGGAGCAAGTCAGCACCTCCCACCCGGCCTGGCACCGAGTTCTGGGCGTACTTTGTAGGGGATGCGCCCGCTCCCCGCGGTCTGGCGGCGGGTGTCCCCCGGGAGTTCGGAGGGACCTGTCCTGTACTCTGACCCACTGGCCTGCCCCCCGCGGGCCCACCTGCCCCCGCCCAGGTCCTCAGGGGCTCGTGCCCGAGCCTGACTCCCACTCAGCAGGGCCAGAGCTGGGCCACCCACCCCCGTGCCCAGCAGGCCCCTGCTCACCCAGAGCAGCAGCCTGAGACTGGACCCTTGCGGCCCAGGCCCTCCTGTCACGTAGGACCCGTGCCCCGCCAGACCCCGGAACTCTTCCCATCATCCTTTGGGGGGTCTCGGTTTCCCCTTCTGTTAAACAGCACCAGTCAGACCCAACGACTGCGCCCAGGCGCACAGGACTACCACTGTGGCTTCCTCCAGATCCTGGAACAGACTCACAGGGTCCCCCTCGGGAGCAAGCAGCATGCGGCCGCCAGGGAGTGCACCCAGGGGGCCCCCAGGCCCCACTGGGACCCTGCCGGGCAGGGGTGCTCCTCGGGCCTGTGCCGGGACCGCGCTGCGAGAGCACCGCCGCTCCGTGTCTCCAGGGGCCTGCGGGTCGGAGCTGCTGAGCCACCCAGGCCCCTCATCCCTCCTCCTTCCCAGGGCCCAGGCTTCCGTGGCCCTGGGAGTGCCAGGAGGTGCCCATCAGGAGCTTCCCGGCATGTCCCGTGTCACTAAAGGAGGCAGGGAACCAGCTCGTGGCGTGGCGGAGGAGCACGGTCCTCCTGGCTTGAAAGGCACCGAGGCAGACTGCGTGGAGAAGGCAGCATTTCAGCTGGGCCTTCATGCCTGGAAGGGTTGAGGAGGAAGGGCATTGCAGGCGGCTCAGAGGGAGGGGGTGACTGTGGAGCCGGCGCTCTCAGCCCTCCCGAGCCCAGCTCTGCAGAGCCTCTGGCCCTTTGCCTCTATGCTCTCTCCACGGTACTGCGGGGGGGGGGGGGCACCACCACACCACTAATTTACAGAGAAGGAAACTGAGGCCCGGAGAGGATGGGGCACTGGCCAGGACCTGAGGAGGCTGGGACTGGGGGCTGGGCCAGGAGGAGCTCTGAGTCTGAGGCCTGAGCACCCCCATGCCCCACGGTGCCACCCATGCAGGGCTGGGGGCGGCGGGTACACGGGCTGCAGCATCGTGTCCTCATTTGTGAAGCGAGCGTGACTGTGTGGTCCCCGAAGTCAGCAGGACCACAGGGGAGGCCTTGGGTGCTGTGTGAGATGGGCTCTTCATTCTGGGAGCCCTGAGCCAGGGCAGAAGCCCCGGCCGGGGCCCTGGAAGCCGACCAGCTGCCTCCAGGGACCCAGAAGTGCAGAAGGGAGAGGAGGAGACCTGCCCTGTGCGCCCGCACCTGGCCAGCCTGGCTCTCCCGTCACCCTGCCCACAGCGCAGGGGCAGCCCCTGGGAAAGGCTGGGGGAGCCCCCTGCCCGGGGCTGGCCTGGCGCAGCCACCCGGGCCCGTGCTCAGCCGGAGCCAGCCGCCCGTGGGTGGCACCGGCGCGGACGTCCTGCCCTGCCCTCCGAGCCCGGCCCGGGCCGGGAGGGACCTACCTCGGGAGGTTCTCCAGGCCCTGCCTTCCAGGGTTCCGCCTCAGGCCCGCCGAGCTGCTCCCGCTGCCGGGGCCGCCTGCCCGGCTGGCGACCTGGCCTGACCCCGGCCCTGGGGACGCTGTGGCTCCTTCTTCGAAGGCCCCGCTGGCCCTCTGTCTGCGGCCCTCCTCCTGAGCCTCCTCCTCTACTTGGACCCTCTCCCCGCTTTTCTTTCTCTTTCTCTCTCCCTTCCCCTCCTTCACACCCTCGGTCCCTGTCCCTCTGTCGCCGCTGCCACTCCCTGCCTGGTCTGGTCTCCAGCCCTGATGCCCCTTCCCCTGTCCCCTGTCCCCTGTCTCTGTCCCGGACCCTCCGTTCCCCAGGGCGGCCTCCTGGGCTGCCCCCTGAGGGCCATCCCCGGGTGTCCCAGTGTCCCTCTGCCCCTGCCCCTGGGCCTCTGGACTCTGGGGGTCTCCGGGCCCCTCCTCTTTCAGGCTTAGCAGCTGCTTCCCTGCTGTCCCCCCAGCCCCCACCTCGCCCCCCTCAGTCCCCACCACCTCCACTGCCCACTCCCCGCCAGACTAGCAAAAACACCAGGGAGAAGCCGTCACTGCCCACCAGCGGGCCCGGCGGGACCGAGGGGGTCCCACGCCTGTGATGGGCAGGAGCTGCCCCCTTCCCTCCACGTCCCCTGGACCGCCTGGCCCACTCCCTCTTCCTCCCCGTCGCCTCTGCTCCCCCAGCTCTCGGGGTGCCTGGTCCCCACCTAAGCCTCCCCATCCCCTCGAGCCTTCCTCCTCGCCAGGCCGGGCCTGGCCCGCTCCCTGGCCCTCCTCCCCTCTCTCCTGCATCTGCCTTTCGGGTCCAGAGCCTTTGCCCGCGCCCTCTCCCCCTGCCGTGCCCTCCACTGCTCTGCCCCGTCCTGCGCCCTCAGCCCCTTCCTTTCTCAGTCCCTTGTCCCCCTGGTCCCAAACGCAGCCCCTGTCTCCTCTTTCCCCTGTGGTGTCTCTCTGTCCCCTATCTCTCTCTGTCTCCCTCCCTCCTTCCCTCCCCTCCCTTCCTCTCCCCTCCCTTCTTCCCTCCCTCCCTCTCCCTCCCTCCCCTCTCCTCCCTCTGGGTGCTCCATTTTCCTTTGTTTATTCCCAGCCCTCGGCTCCTTTTATCACCTCAAGGGGGAGGCCCGGCACCCCAGGGATCCTCTCTGCTCCCCAAATGGGGCGGCTGCTGCCCTGCCCGCCCCCACCCCCCGCTGCGCTGGGCAGTCGAAGCGGCAGGACCCTGGGTGGCGGGCGCCCGCTCGGCCTCCCTGGGTTGGCCCGCTGCTCCCGAGGGTGGCCCCTGGGCACAAGGTCAGCGCGGTGCCCTGGCCAGCCGGCCTGTGGCCCCTGGCCCTTTGGCGAAGGCCCCGGAGGAGCAGCCCAGCCCATTGTTTCCCTGGTTGGGCTCAGCCACCGTGACTCACTGAAGGCTAGTGGCTGGACAAGGGGAGGGACCGGACGCGCCGAGGGGACTCACTGAGGGCCGGCACTCTTCCCCCCGGGGGCTGGCCCGCTAGCCAGGGCTCGAAGCGCTCTGGGAAGTGGACACCTTGTACCCATGTCTCAGATGGGGAAACCGAGGCTCAGACTATTCTAAGGTCTCAGAGCCAGGGCCCAGTGGAGCCCGAACCACAGGCCAGGTCGGCAGCCCCAGCACTGGCCCAGGAAGGCCACGCCTGTGCACGTGGCCCGCCAGCCCACCCCGGCCCCACAGCCCCTGCTTGGGGACACGGGAGCCGTCAGAGGGCAAGGGCGGGGTCGCAATGGCCTGCAGGGGGTCGCGCGAGCCCGTCGCCGTGTGGAGGTGGGGTGCTGGACGTGGCGGCGTCAGTCGGGAAAATTCCGCGTGGGCCCACAGCCTCAATCGGCTCGCGGTGGTGACTCAGGTGGTGGCAGGCCGGGGGGAGACTCAGTGGGGGTCAGGAAGTTTGGCTCAGATCCCCCTCCGCCCACACGCTGGGCTGGGCCCTGTGGCCAGTCCTGGAGGAGAGCCTGAGCAGCGTCCCTTCCCCCGCTCAACCTAGGAGGGGCTGGGGCTGCAGGGGGGCCACAGAGGCGCAGTGCCCACCCCTGGCCCCAGCACCCTGCCAGAGCCGTGCCGACCTCAGGGTGCGGGGCGATGCGGTGGAGGGAGGGGCGGCGGGTCACCCGGGGAGGTGAGCCTGGCCTCCGCGCTCCTCCTGACCGCCCGGCACTCCCTGGCCTCTCCTCTTCGTTGCCGAATGTTAGTCACAGCAAGGAACGAAACTTGCCAAGGCCTATTTTGGTTCAAAAGAAGGAAAAATATTCCCACAGGGCGGCGGGCTGCCTGGGGATTGTGGAAAATCCCTGACACCCGGGAGTTAACAATAGAGTCACAGCCTTCTGTCAAAACTGCTGGTGAAGGGGCGGTGGCCAGAGCTGGCCTTCCCCGCAGCGGCCAGGTTCCGTGGTTCCACGGCGGGCAGCACACTTGGCCTCCACCCCACAGCTACTCGTACGTCCACGGGTCCATCCGCTCACTCCCCACCCACTCGCGCACCCTCCACCCTGCAGCCTCTGCCCCTCATTCCTCTCTCCGCACCCACCCGTCCCTCCGTCCGTCACCCACCCTCTCTGTACAGCTGTCTGCCTCTCCGAG